CAATGAGATCATCAGTCAAACCCAGCCGATCTACAAGGCAGAAACTCCAATGGTGTTTTTCTTCAGGTTTGGCTCTGTGTCTTCATCCAAGTCTCAGTTGATGAACAGTCTGATCAATGAGAAACACAACACGTTCTTCCACAGGAACTGCCCAGGCAGCAGCAGAACCAGAGTCCTGATGGATGGAGTGGTGGAGATCGCCTGGTTCTGCCCATCTGGAACAAATGATGATAAATTCACTGACTGTGTAGCGTTCTGTAATCTACACGGTGATGCAGGAGACCATGAAAAACAGCTGCAGATCCTCACTGAAATGGCCTCAGTCAATGTTGTTCTTCTACCACAACTTGACAGGAACGAAAGCATTAAAATGATTCAAAACCTGTACACAAACAAAAAGCCACTCATTTGTCTTCTTACTGAGGATGAATCTACTGTAACAGAGATGAATAATACAAAATTAAAAATCGGTCTGAAGGAAAGAAGTCATTCAGATGCATCTGAAGAACTCAGAAGAGCTATAAATGATTGTCTCCCAGAAACATCTTTCACTTTCAGACTTGAAGATGTGTCCAAACACTCAGATATCAGAGTAGATGAGGAAGATGATGATGACAGCAGGAGAGGAAGAGAAGCAGCACAGCAGATGATGAGTTTACTGGAGAAGAAAGATCTGAGAGAAATCAAAGAATAATTTCTGCCTCATCAGGGGAAACTGTGGCATCAGTGGTGTCAGAAGAACAAAGAACTACATCGACCTCGAGCAGATGAGACAGAGATGGACATAAGCAGAAAACAAGCCAACCTCAAGAGACTGCGTGAGCAGCAGCATGCATTTAACATATGTACTTTTATACAGTTCTTTATTAAAGAAATTCACTTGCTTGCTGAGAATAAGATCTATTTTCTAAAATGGCTCGAAATCTTCCTGGATGAATATATTTCAATGGATATTTCTGTTCTTCATCAGAAGTATGATGAAAAGTGGTCAGCAGTTGTAAAACTGAAAGAGAATAATTATAAACCTGAACAAATCAAAACTGAATAAGAAGAATTTGAGAGAATATATGAGGAAATTCAAACTGTGGGCTTTGGTTTGGAGCACATCATGAGGGAGATCAGTCAGATCTATGAATCATGTTAATCTGTGAAGAAGAACAAGAAAGACCTGCAGGTTCACTTCTCTTCTCTCCCGAGTCTTGCAGCAGAGATGATGATCTCTGGATTTCCACTGGAGTTGATGGATGGAGATGCTGCTCATGTTCCTGTGATCTGGATCTCTGCTGTTCTAGATCAACTCATCCAGAAGCTGGAAGACCAGAGAGTCTTTGTGCTGTCAGTTTTAGGGACTCAGAGCTCTGGGAAATCCACAATGCTGAATGCCATGTTTGGACTCCAGTTTGCCGTCAGCGCTGGCAGGTGCACCAGAGGAGCTTTCATGCAGCTGGTCAGAGT